GTTTTTATTTAAACTTTTTATTGTGGACTCTCAAAGCCCAAACCACTGCCATTGAGTTGATTCTGACTGTTATTGCCCCTATGGGACAGACGAGAGCTGCCCCTGTGGGTTTCTGAGGCTGTCAGTCATTACAGGAGCAGGAAGCCTCATCTTTCTCCATAGGACAGACAGACATGGGCGTCCCTATCTCTGTCTTGCTGGTCTCGGGTGGGCTGGACCTCTCTGCCCTCTTGCAAAAGTCCAGGAGCAAATTCACCGCTGTTTGAGTGGATTCCCACACGCGGTGACCCTGGGGCAAAAAAGAATTGCCCCCCCCTGGGTGGGGCAAAAAAGAACTACTGCCCCCCACCCCCACCCCCGTGGGTTTCCGAGGCTGGGCTTGTCACTCTTTATAGGAGTCCAGATCCTCTTGGAACGAGAAGTACAGAGAAGTAGGAACCCTGGGCTGACCAACTTCCTCTTCGGTGGACAATCCCTCTCCCTCCTCTTCTCCCTGCGGGGCTTCCTGTTGAAACTTCCTTCCCAGACAGACAGACTGGCCCAGAATCAGACAGTGCCACGTCCACTTCTTCCAACTGCAGAGATGTTGCTGCTGCTGCTGCTGCGGCTGCTGCAGGGGGCTGAGTGGGTTGGGCGCCCGGGTGTCCAGGCTGGGACAGGGTGGTCCCAAAGGTCCCAGGCTCTGGATGATGAATTCAAGTTGCAGGTGCAGCGGTTGGTGACCGTGCACGAGGGCCTGTGCGTCTTCGTATCCTGCAACTTCTCATACCCCCGGAGCGGCTGGCAGGACACCGACCCAGCTTACGGCTACTGGTACCACAAGCAGCAGAACAAAGCCACCCATCACCAACAGGATGTTCTGGTGGCCACCAACGACCCCGCTCGTAAAGTGCATGGGGCAACCGAAGGCCGATTTCAGTTGCTCGGGGACCCGGGGGCCAAGACTTGCTCGCTGGGCATCACAGATGCCCGGAAGGAAGACGGGGGGAAATATTTCTTCCGGCTGGAGAGAGGAAAGACGCTGCAGTACAGTTATAAGCTGAGACTCACAGTGAATGTGGCAGGTAGGCACTGGAGACAAGGGATGGGGGAATCCTTTGCCCCCATCTCTGTAGGGATGGTGGAGCAGGGTTGGCTTAGGAGTGGGCCGGAAGCTCTCTTGCAGTTTTAAGTTGGGGTCCTGTCTCGGTGGCAGTGGTTTTTGTGCATCAGGTGAAGGGGTTCTAAGCAGATCAGTTTCCCATTCAACAGCATCAGACGATCTTGTTTGATGTCATGCGCTGCGATCTCCCCAGTGGAATATGCACTTCCTTTCTCGTGTTACCTGTTTCCATTCCCCCTGCGCTCGCTAACCTGTCTGCATCTTGTCCTTGGGTAACTGTGCTCTGTCGATTGCCCTTGGTTGATGATGCTGGCATGTGTCCCCTCCCTCCCCTGTGTCCTTGATAACCCTCAGACCTGTCCTTTGGTAGGAAATTGAACCATGGGGGTGAGGGAAGTCCCAGGCCTAAAGAGAGTGAGTAAGGGCGTAGTCTTGGGGGCTTCCCCAGTCTCTAGCTGACCCCCATATGCCTGGTCTTTTTTTTTTTTACTGACCTTTGAGGTTTTTTTGTTTTTTTTAAATCAATCTATTGGGGCTCATACAATTAAAATCACAATACATAGATCAATTGTGTAAAGCACATCTATACATTTGTTGTCCTCATTATTCCTGAAATTCGCTTTCCTCTTGGGTTCCCGGAATCAG